GATGCTTCCCACAAACCGGCTACAACCAAACTTGCTAATTAACCTTCCGCCACAACAATCCCGCCCCCTTGATAATCGACCAATAACATTCACTTTATGCACTCGTGTAAAGTCGGGAACCACTCGGAGAATTCGGAAATGCGACGATTGGAACGGCCGCTTCTCTACGACTTTAAAGTTTATTTTTCGTACAAACCTAAAGGGATAAACGGGTATTGATTATGTGTATGCTCATCTGACAGAACAGGTGAACCAGAAGAACCTCTGATGTTCTTTCCTTTAGCTATGATGTCAGCGTGCGAACGTACGGTCTGCTTGAAGCCCACGGCGGTGTGCTGCGGAGCCTTCCTCAGAGCGTTGGTCAGAGTCCGGCGGGCCTCCGTGTATTCCAGCTGGATGGCTTTGATCCGACCTGCAGAGGGTCACATGACGCCCAGGTGAGACGCCTGCAGCTCCGCCTCTCCTCCCCCCCCACTCCCCAATACTACCTGTGTAGTAGAGGTATCTGGCCCACTCGTTGTTGTTGGCGAGTTCAGGGAACACGGACTTGGACACCAGCTTCTCTGCTTGGTCGTACAGGTTGAAGTGCAGGTAGTTCCTCAGCAGCAGGTTGAGCAGCACCGCCTGACCGTCGGCATCGTGGCGTAGCGTCGCCGTGCGCAGCCGGGTGTGCAGGAAGCTGAGGGCGAGAGAGGTCATTGGTTCAGTTTACCATGAGGAGCCCATGGGGACGGATAGTTCCTGGTTCTAAGCTGGGATTTAGGAAATAATTAAACATCCAATAATTGATATAAAACCACTGGAAACTGATGGAAAACATTTTAAAGCAAATATTTTTCAATAAATTTTCTTCTTTCCATATTTATCTAGAACAGTAAAATAATCAAAGTTGATTCTTCTACTTTTAAAAACTGCTAAGGAGCTTTAGAGTCAAACAGAAAGATTTTATATGCAGGCTAAGGACAGAAGGAACCATTTCTGCAATGAGCCTGATGGTGGAAGGGGCTGGCGATAAATCGATTATACTCGATGTTCCCCCCGCACCATGATTAAAATTACTTTATCGCAACCATTGAGCCCAAATTCGCCCGATGACATTAAGCCGTCTGCATCTATTTCACTGAGTTTTATTTCTCCCACACACTTTGAATGCATCATAAACCCTTCCTCCAAACAGGATTAGTTTCTCGTACACTAAAGCAAGTAGAAACCTAAATATGGCGTCAGCAGGTGTTTCAGCTGAGCGATATACGGCAGC